AGGAAAAGACAGAGATTAAGAAGCAAAAAAGATTGGGGTGTCTGGGAGGATCAGTTGATTAAGCGTCTGCCTTCAGCTCAGCTGCCTTCAGCTTATGGTCCCAGGGTCCTTGGACTGAGTCCCAAGTCGGGCTCTCTGCTCAGCGGGGAGCCTGCTTCTCCCTCTGCATCTGTCTTCCATTCCCCCTGCTTGTGCTCTCTGTCTGTCAAATAAGTAAATAAAATCTTAAAAAAATAAGCAAAAAAAAAAAAAAAATCAATTCACTGTGATGGAAAGAAACCATCTCTGGCAGGATGGGAGGTAGAAAAAACTCTGGGTCCCATGGAGAAGGCGGCCTCCAAACTCCTACAAAACAAGGCAAATGATTTCTGTGATGACTCATCTCTGGGTCAGCACATCATCTGTGGCAACGGAGCTGTGGGGTTGGGAGGAGCAGCACATAGAGAATGGGGCCTGCCATCCTGGCCAGGCAGGCAGAGGAGCACAGAACCTAGGAGAAGAGACCACAGTCGGAGCTAGAGCTGGCATCTGGAAGGAGCCAGAGAAACGCAGAGGGTTTGTGGTCCCAGCCAGGTCCCTCTCTTCACTGAGAAAAAGAGGCTCCCAGCCCTTACAGCCTAGACAAGCCACTTGAACTCACCATCCCCTTTCTGAGGGAAATCTTCCAGCTCTCACTTTGCCTCAGAGCTAAATTATTCCAAAAGCAGTAACCGCAAACACTCCCCAAGTCCTTAGTATCTGTCAGGTCCTACGGCAAGCCCTTTCACACATTTTCGCACGTGACCCTCGCACCAGCTCATGGTGAATGTCTATATTTGCTATCGCTCGCATTTCACCGACAAGGAAACCCAAGTTCAGAGATGAGCTCACTTGTCTGAGGTCGCACCGCTAGTAAGCTGGTGAGCTGGGATTTGAGCGAAGGCACCTTGAGCTTTCTGTACCCAAAGTCACATTTCAGTATGAGCAAAAATCACTGCTCTTTTTAGAGGAAACCAGGAACTGTCAACCAGGGGAGAGGGATCGCCTTGAGACACAAAGCCAAAGGACCCCAAAAGGTATCAAGCCAGAAAATCATCTTCCTCCTCTTGAAATTTCCATTCTACCTCAAGTCCTCCCCTGCAACTTTGGAAACCGGCAGCCTGCTAATTCACTTTCCAGATCCCATGTAGCTGTGTCTCTGGATGATCATAACTGGACTGAGTCAGCTGACGAGGTCTGCAAGACTCTCAGAAAGATATCATTAATTTGAAACGATGCCAAGTGTCACCTGGGTAGTCCATCTGCAGACATCCTCCTCCTCCTTTTGCCAAAGAGCAATCGTGCAATGCAACTTCCAGCTCCCTTCCACATCACCTCTCTGTGCCAGGCTCCTCCAGCCCACGCAGCCATCTATGCTGACAAAGGGCAAACCAACGGTAACCCGCGGAGGTGATATTTGGTCCGCTGCTGTCCCCAGAGCAGCCCACTTTCCTGGAAGGCGCTTAGCATCGCTTAGCATCTGATAGCGCATCCCAACATCGCACGAAGCAGCCATAAGCCACCAAACCCGTTCAACAAACACTCGCTGAGCTCTCACTCCAGACGAGGTAGCAGGCACGCGAAAACACAGTGCCTGGCCCTCTCCCACATTATAAACGTAGTGCAGGAAAAGACCAGTGGAGGAATGTGCCAACACGGGGTGTAATTAAATACATGCTAAATGAGCACCATTTTCATGACGGCTGGAACGTATTCTGAACTATTCATTTGTATCTACTTTTCATCCATTTTCTCCTCTCCTGTCTTCTCTCCTCAAGCGCGGGGCCAATCAGCCTCGCCTTCATTGCCTTCATTCTCCTCAGAGAGAAAGGAGGAGTCCCTCGTAAGGCTCTCTGGCTCTGACAGTCTGAAAGCTGATGCCTGGAGTTGAACCAGCAGGGTTTGTGGAGAGGGAAGGGGGCGAAAGAGGAACTGGATGGAAGAAAAGGCAAAGTGAACTGGAGAGAACCAAGGTAGAGACAGGTTTTTTCCAGAACAGAAGGAAACATCCTGGGGCTGGGAGCAGAGGCAGGAGGAGAATGAGGGCACGAGACACTGAGAGAGGCAGAGAGACAGAGAGAGACTGAGGCTGGGACTGCTGGGTGCTCAGGCAAGGAAGACTCAACCTCATGACTCTTGCCTCAGCAAGACCCTCCACCCCCCACAGGTAGAGGCTGTGTTGTACATCCAGGCAAACACAGGACCAGAGATAATTCTGCAAAACGATTCTCAGCTCTACCGTGTGACCACAGAGAGCAGGCAGCCCTAGCTGCCACATGGAGGGGGTCAGGGGCATCACAGACGTAACTTGCTTGGTTTCCACAAGGCCCTAGAACAGTGGCCCAGACTGAGAGTGGAACCCAAGCCATGCCCACCATGGTTTCTTGGCAGCCTAGAGGGATAGGGCCTCGGTTGCCAGAGACAATCGAGGACGTCCTATCCTGGGTAGGTGTCCGGTACTTCTATTTGCTGAGTCTGGCAACTCTGGAATGGACCTGAAGAAATTAAGTTGACACAAACGATGTGGACAAAAATTCGTATCTGAGATTCTTACAAAAATTCATTTGTAGAACTGAAATGGTCCGCTGTGATTTATACTCATTCACATACAACACCTTTTATTTCTAGAGAGTTTTACAGTTTATACAGTTCCTTCACTTATATTGTATTGTTCAACCCTCCCAATAACCTGGCGAGATGAGAAATGTGAGTCCAATTTTTTTCCAGAAGAAGATAACGGGGCTCAGGGAAGCGAAGCCCGCTATAGACGCTAAGTCCACGCAGGCCAAAGCTGTACCCAACACTGGTTTCGGCTGCTCTGCTCTGGGACCCTGCACTGCCTCGGAGCCCCAGCCTGGCCCAGGTGCTAGCAGTCCAGACTTCAGTTCCACACGCCTCACATGAGCCTCTGTGAAGTGTGAGCTTTTAGAGGTGTCTGGTTCCAGATGACCTCTCTCTGGTTTGCAGAAGAGCCAGAGCTGGAAAACGCCTTTACTTGGTGAGGGTCTCCATCACCTGTGGGTTCTGAGATGACGAGACTTTGGATGATAATCCTTTGGGTTCACTGTAGTCCAGGTCAGGTGACAACTGACAGGTGACAAGTAAGATGGCTTGATTCTAATGTGAGGATGGTGTGGATGGTGATTTCTGGAGAAGGAGGCCAGACTTCGGGATGCTTTGCAGACCCCTGAGGAGAGCGGACTGAGGAACGCTCTGTCCTGCACACTCAAGACAGTTTCTGCCTGGGGGGAAGGGCCTGCTGTGTCAGAGCTCCGGGTTTTACACATCCTAAAATCTTTACTTATGGATGTCAGGTCAAAGGGAAGAGAAAAAAAAGCTCAACCAGACTTGAAACGTTACCTGGTTCTGCTGTCAGCAAATGGGTTGCAGCTGTTTTTGCCATTACACAAGCTGGTGCTTTTTTTTTTTTTTTTTTAAGTATGTTGTAGGAAATCAAGAATATGATCCTGGGGAAGCCCTATGTGTACTACTGCCCACTTTGATAAAAATTTCATTTTTCACTCTACACAGAAGATTTCAATGGCAGGAAAATGTTCTCTCTTTCTTTTTTTTTTCTTTTCTTTCTTTCTTTCTTTTCTTTTTGAAGTGCTGGAAGATGGAAACCAGTCTTATTGTCCTATTTTATTATTTATTGCCCACTAACAATATTATTTATTCACACTAACAACGATAACTCCTCATTGTTGGTTGAAGTCATTTTTGGGGGGTGAGAAAGGGCATCTTATAGATTGGGAAATGAGACAAGTTTTCGATGATCACCAAAACATTCATTACCAACATCTATTTTGTAATGTTTCCAAAGCACCATGACATGAAGCTCGGCAGACCCATGATAAGTGTCTCTGAGAATTTCTTTCAAACATCTCATCAACCGGCAGCCACTGACATGGGGCAAGTCCTCCAAGGAGCCGGGGCCATTCCTGCGCGAGCATCAGGACTCTTGGTCGATGTATCTGGGCAGAAGTGATGCCCTCAGAGCACGGGGCTCCTTCTGACCAGGCTGGCTCACCTGAATGGGCCACAGCTCAGCAGGACTAAACTCTGTGCCAGATTTTCGTGTTCCTTTCTCCGCCCCAGGGCCAGTGACTTACAAACGTAGAGGCTCTGCTAAGCCCTGGGATTTCATTAAGGGCCTTGTTAAAATTTACTACAATCAAATAAAGAAAAGATCCAGCCTTGGAAATCATTCTCCACTCATGTCTTTCCTCCCTGCTTCCCACCCCCACCTCCAATCCCACTTACTCATCTATTAAACAACTAACTACTGAGCGAGTTCTGGAAAGTTGCCCATATCACATCTCTTTAGAAATCATTTCAGAAAACGTCTTGAGGAAGGTAGGTCACCTCTTCCCATTTGTCTTACTCTGGCAGGTCTGGTGCCTAAGCAAACGGGCAGTGAAGCATACAGGAAGAATAGAGAGGATCCAGATTCTGAAGTGAGGCCCAAGGTACGTCCTGGCCATTGCATACGACCTGGATGACCTTGGGCAAGTTCCTTCACTTCTGTGAGTCTCACTTTCTGCATCTATAAAATGGGACGAGTACTGCGACCCACTGTATCACATATTGTGAGGGTTAAGGAAAATAATGCATGTCTACTGTCTACCCCAGTGTCTAGCACAGAGCAGCTGCCAAAAATGTGAGCTATGAACAGGGGGTCTTTTGCAGATGCTGCCTATCTTTCTGCTGCATTGTTCCATCTTGTGTTTGGCAGAATTTTTGCTGGCTACATGGGAACTGAGGAGAGGAAAAGCCATGTTCTTGCTCCTGGACTCACAAGTTGTCCCATCCTTCTGTGATGTCATAATTTGAGCTGCAGCTCCAAATCTGAATGCTAACAACCCAGCAACCAGTCCTCACCTCCCACACGCTTTTCATCACCCACTTGCATCCAACATCTGGGGCCTCTGCTTCTACCCTACCAGTGAGCTCGCCACTGAGGTTCCATGTCCAACATTACTCAGACAGGCAGTATCTGCAGGAGGTAAGCACACCAGGGCCTCCAGGATCCAAGGCAAGAAACCCCTTTTTCAGGGGAAGCTGAAATTTTGCAAAATGGAATATAAACAGGGGCATCTCTTTGGTTTAATGATTAAAATTGAAACTTGACTCCTCTGCTGTGGGGGACCTGACCACAAGTTTCATTTTTCAAAGGACCCAGATGTTTATGAAGGGCCGGCTCATCCCCAAGATTGGTTACTCTGCTTTCAGGGGCTGCCTGACCTCTCCTCAAACCTACTCTGAGGCAAAACCCCCCATGGAATTAAACCCTCGCTACACAGGGAGGCCAGGGCAGCCGGGCCCAAGGCAGCTCCTTGGGTGACAAATATTTTTGGAGCAAGACTGGCTCCTTCTTCTCCTTTGGGTCTCTGCCCAGGTGTCCACCCCTTACAGAGTCCTTCCCAGACCTCTCCATATAAGGTCCCATGCCTCCTGTCTCCTCTGCACGTCAGCCTTTTCTATGACCTCCTATCACTTAGCTCAAAGCCTCTCATGTCTATATTTGCTGACTTGTGCTTGCCTGATGCCCCTAGACTGTCAGATCCCCAAGAACAGAAGTTCTACCTGTCTTGTTCATGCCATGGCCCAGGCACATGGTAGTTCGTACTGAGGGGGAGAAGGAAAAGAGTAAAACACTTCTATAATGCCACACAAAAATCTTGAGTTCTGCCTGCCATTGGGGCTTGGAGTATAGAGAACACTCAGTGCAGGAAGGAAGGGAGGGAGGGAGGGAGGGAGGTTAATTATGCTGCTTTGCTTTTGATGTCCTAAAGCTTTATGACACACACACATGGACTCACCATACTCTCTGACATTATACACAAGGCCTGAGTAACTCAAAGTCATTTTATTCCTAAGTGTCACCAGCCATTGTATATTGTGCATATCCTCTCTCCTGCATCCTCTCTCTCACTGTATCCAGTGACTGTGCTGAACCCCAATTGCTGAGGGCCTGGCTATCTAAGTACACAGGGTGGTAAGTTAGTATAAATTTGCAGAGAGCCAAGAAATCTCAAGCACTGGGGGCAAGAGAGCCTGGTGAGATGGGGGAGGAGAGAGAACAGAAGTCTGGGCTTTCCTTTGACTTAAGTCTAAAACAGATTAACAGAAAAGGACAGGTCAAGACTCATGTCAAGCTAGTTTCCCTCACCTGGCGATGAATGCTTTCCTTGGCTCTTCTGAGCTGGGCAACAGTGTTCTGTGTACAGAGGGCTCCGGAGAAGGGGTAGCCATGTTTGCAGGACAATTAAGAAGCAACCTTGAGGCTGTCATGACCTTGTAGGCTACAGAACAAAACTTCTAAAAGGGCATAAAACAAAACCTGGTCATTGAGGAGGGCTATACATCCATGCAAATCAAACAGCAAACTAACTAACCAAACAAAAACAAAGCAACACTCTCAACAAGTAGATATATTTGCCCTAGTGTGGAGTTTCCATTATGAAAGGACAAGACAGAAGGAGCTCTGTTCCGCCACCACCCCCTGCCCCCTGCCCCCGTCATGGCAACTACCACGACGTGCCCCTTCCTGGGCAGCTGCTTGTATGCTCAGGGTGGAATGCTCCCACTAGGGCAGGTTTAGGGCACGTTTCCTGGTGACCCTCAGTCTAGTGGTGGGAGAGCTCCTGCAGGTGTGCCTTTAATGGCTGTAGGCACATCTGCAAAGGGAGCTGGGATTCTGAGTGTCAGCAGCCAGTGAGCAGTGGGGTTCCAGAAGCCAGAGTGGCAATATGCATGCATGCACACACATGTGGACGGGCAAGAACAGTTTTTGTTTTTGGTAGGATTGTCCAAAAGTGATACCTAAACAGTAGCTGTGGAACTCTGTATAATGACTTGTCTAGACTGTTCTAACCTCATTGATAAAATTAAGACATGGAAACAGGTATTTCCTAAGGGTCTTCCAGTTCAAAAATTCTATACTTTTATGCAAACATTGCTTTCTTTCTATGCTTTTTTGATTTTTCTCTCCCTTGCTCTTTCTGTCTCATCTTCTGCCTTTTTTCCTTTCTTCCTCTTGGCCAAGTCCTCTTCAACTGCCTCAAGGGGGCCTGTGACCTCCCCCCGCCCCCAGTAGCTGACCAGAAAAGCCAGCAAATCAGCAGCTGTTTTCACAAGGTTTGGAGTAGCTGATGTCCCATAATTATGATTCAACCGTCTCACTCCGAGGCTCTAACGTCTTAGAATCCCCAAATCTCCTGGTGAGCATTAAATAATACATACCAGCCAGTCAGCAAAAGCAAGACTCCTGCTTAACTCCTGGCAGTACAGAGCAACACATCGAGCCACTGCACCAAGAAGTTTAGTCAAACACAGAAACAGGTGTCCCCAGAATTGCAACATTTCTGTTGCAGAAATCAAGACAGAGCGAAAGGGGGAAATCTAGCACCTATGGTATGGGAGGAGGGAATTTTGGGATCTGGAAAGCCTTCCTAGGAAAGGGTATGATAATGGATAATGTGCAAGTTTAGCAGAACATAATATCATCATTTCTCATTAAGTGCAACTATACTCCTATAAATTGAGAAATCACTTCATTTGGGATGAACCATCCAAAAGCACATACAACACATGTAGTTATCATTGGGTGAGCCCTGTATCTATGAACTGAGCTAAACTCCTCATCCACACCTCATTCAGTCCTCATAATAAAACAGGAGACTGATGTCAGCGTAGTGTTAAGACCATGTTACTAGTCACACAGATTTGCTCTTCTCTGCACCTTAATTTTTTCATCTGCGGAATGGGTCAAATAACAGTATTTGTTCTTACAGGACTGGTGTTTGTTTTTTCAATTAAAAATTATATAAAACGCTTAACACAATGTTAAGAATGTAGTAAACGGTCCATGAACATTATTTGTTATTGGTGGCGACGTTTTTCCACATACGGCTATTAATGTCTGGAGAGTGTAAGTGGGCTCTCCGAGGTCACATGGCCAGGAGGGGGTTTGAGCGCAACTTGGTCTGTGATCACACTCTCTTGTCCCTTGTGATGTAAACTATCACTGCTTAATGGCCACTTCCTGACATTTTCCGGGAAACCTGTCACCGACCGTGGACTTGTCCTGCAATCTACCTTCGAAAGTCATTGTGGATCTGCAGTTCTATTAATCTTACCTTGGAAAAATCATGCAAATGTGCAGCCTATACAGTAGGTCCCTCCTTAGAATTAGAGAGGTCTGCGGTCTTTACTCTGACAGAGGCAGATGAGGCTCCTTCGTCATTTGTGATTCCTCTTTGCCCATCCCTATTTCTGGACTCTTCTGGGACGTTTCCTTCTGCTCTTTCCTAATGACCCAGCTCACACCAGACCCTGGGGGTGCCCAGCAAAGAAAAGCCAAGGACTGAGCCAAGAAGAGCCTGAAAGGGCATGAAATGGGGCTGGAAAGGCACAGACCTGGCAAGGCGCCAAAGGCTCTCACCAAAATTTTAAGGAAAGGAAAGCAGCCACCTTGGGGGACATTCGTAATGCTTATGCCAACCCTTGCCTGAAGCAGGGCTGGGAAGGGCAAGCCAAATTGCACACCATCTTCAGCCAGCGCCTCCAAGTCAGCTGAATGTTTCCCACGAGCCTCTGCAGAGCAACAGGGCCGAACTTGCCGTAGAAAGGGCTGACCTCAAAGGCGTGCACTGCCGCGGTAACTAGGAAGGGTGGCAAAATGGCATGGATCATCGGTCCTAAGAGAGTATTCTAGAGGAATTTTGTCTATAAGGAAAAGAAGAAAGAGACTAAGAGAAAGAAAAGCCTAAGGAATGCCTAGGTGTCAGGAAGCAGCTCTGAAGTTTTATTTGGTTTATTTGCTCACATGGGGAGAAGTCAGAGAAGGAATCTGGAGCCAATGGGGATCAAAGAAAGGAAACGGGGCTTAAGCTGGAGAAACATTCCAGTTGGACAAAACAAAGCCCTTTTTGAATGCAAAGCTGGTGAGACTGCCAGGTTTTACTGCAGATTGAGGTTATGGTTCTACCTGTAAAGCTTCAAAAAACAATTCTAAACACCCCTCTCTCCCCCCAATCCTGTATGCTTCCACTTATACCACTTGTCTCAGAATTACCAGCATCATTAAATCTGTATTAGAATTATCTAGAAAGCTTATATAAATGCAAGTTCTCAGGCTCCGCCTCTGACGACTGAGTCAGGAATCCCCAGGGTTGGGGGGCAGGTGGGCGCTCCATAACCCACAATTTTACAGCTCGCAAGGTGTTTCCTATCTACATGGAAATCCTTGAGCGCCCCCCACCCCCACGCCCCTCCGCATGAGGGGCGTGAACCAAGGCAAGGTGACTTCCACTTTGAATTTTCTGAATGTATGCATTTTATCAAACTCATCCAAGGGTTGCTGCAAAGGGCACCAAATAAAATGAAATGAAAACTGCCTTTTCTAGGGAGATGGGCTGCTCAGTGCTGGAGCCCCACTGTGACCCCAGGGCACAGCCATGCTGCTAAACTGAAGAAAAGGGTTGGCTTGGGCAACCTTCTTTATAGACAGACAGCTGAGAGCGGGAGGGGGAGAAACCTCAGTTCAGGGCAAATTCCGGTGCCCAGAAATCAGATCTGAGTGCAGCACTGCCATCCTCTACTAGAGAAAGAAATCTTAAGAGTAATTTATCTTTCTCCCTCCTCTTATCTCTGAGTTGGATGCTCAACTGTGGAAACACACACCGATTTGTGCTTCACTCCTTGGTGCTCTGTGGTCTTCTTACCAAGGGACTGAAAACATCTGCACCCACTCGGAGGTGGGTGATTGCTGGTCCTAGGGGAAAGGAGAGGGCTGACGGCAGTTTTCTTTCTTTAGGGTTTTTTGGGCCTGCAGGGTTTTTTGATTTGTTTGTTTTTAACTTGTCTGTGGTTTGGGTTTTTTTTTTTTTTTATGTCTAATTAACATGCAGTGTTATAGAGACAGTTGTCTTTTTCCTTCTACAGCAACTACATCTTTGGAACATGAACACATGGACCAACATAAGGGACTCCCTTCCTTGG